CCAGCCACAAACCTCCAATACCACAGCAGAGAAGCAGAAACAAAAACTTTGCAACCAGACAGCTGTGGAGTCAAATCCCAGCTCCACCACTTAGGACTGAGTCACCTTGATAAGTTACTTGGCCTTCTTTTGAACCTTGATTCTCTCTTAAGACAGGGACTATGATGACTACTATCACGCTGAGCCCTCAAGTACACTAAATACATTCACACTTGCCAGGCATGATAGCTCATGCCTTTTATCCTAGCTACTTGGGAGGCAGAGATCAGGAGGATCTCAATTTGAGGCCAGCCTGGGCAAAAAAAAGTTCATGAAAACCCACCTCAATTAAAACCAGGCATGGTAGCATGTGCCTGTCATCTCAGCTACACAGGAATAGCTGAGATTAAACAGGGGGATGGTGGTCCAGGATAGCCCAGGCATAAACTCAAGGCTCTATTCAAAAAATACCTAAAAGCAAAAAGGACTGCAGGCATGGATCAAGTGGCAGAGAGCCTGCATAAGGCCCTGAGTTCAAACTGCAGTACTGCCAAAAAAAAAAGGAAATTCACCCTTGTGAAGGGTTTAGCCCGATGCCAAGGCAAGCACAGGCATTTTATTCCACTAGAAACATAGCCACCCTTTGCTTCCTTAGGGATGCAGGCTGGAGAGGGGCTGGTCCTTAATCCCCCCCACCTCTCTCCCCTGCCAGGATCGCAGGGAGACAGTTGACTTCCCCAGATGGTAAGCTCACAGCCACCTCAGTTTTCATCTACAAACTTGAGACAGAAACTCCAGCTGCTCGTGGCCACTAAACAGAGAAGACACCAGGGCAGCTATCAGCTCTGAAACTGTTCAGCCTACATTGCAATGTGGAAGGGCTGAAGGGGACAGCTGGACTGGAAGCTGAGCTGCCCTGCCCAGAGGACTGCAGGGCAGGACCCTTTTTTTTTTTTTTTTTTTCTGGTGGGATTAGGGTTTGAACTCAGGGCTTTTGCACCTGCAAAGCAGATACTCTACTGCTTAAGCCACACCTCCAGTCTGTTTTGCTCTGGTTATTTTCTTGGAGATGGGATCTCACAAACTATTTTCCCTGAGCTGGCCTCGAACCAAAATCCTCCCAATCTCAGACTCCCAAGTAGCTAGGATTACAGGCATGAACCACTGGCACCCGGCTGGGCAGGGTCATCTTAAACCCTTTGCAGACCTTGCCTCTGATTCTCAGAAGCCCTATCCTCAACAGTAATGAACATTAAAATGCACCCACTTCAGCCAGAATCTGGTGGCTCCTGCCTGTAATCTTGGCCACTCAGGAGGCAGAGATCAGGAGGATGGAGGTTCAAGATTAACCCCGGGCAAATAGTTCCCGAGACCCTATCTCCAAAATACCTAACACAAAAAAGAACTGCAGAGTGGCTCAAATGGTAGAGTGCCTGCCTAGCAAACATAAGGCCTGGAGTTCAAACTCCAGTACTACCAAAAAATAAATAAATGAACTCACCTCCCTCATTCAATGTAACTCCTCTTTGTTTTAAATTTAAAATGTTTTTTGAAAAATAAATTTGCTTTTGAAATTACTTAACTATGAGTAACTCATTCAATTTACTACTGGCTACGATTTCGATCATCGTGTGTATTCTGGAGCTTTTGCCAGAAATTCAATTTACAAACATAATGACATTTGTACAAATATGAAACTTAACCAGTATTTAAGTTGACATGCTATTTTCCAAAGGCATTTTGTTAAACATTTGCCCATTTGGATTTTGCTTTTTACTTATCTGGCAGCCCACAAAGTTTCAGCTGTCCCACATTCCCTTGGCCCTGGAAGGTCAGCCTTGTCCTCTGCAGAGGACAGGTTTGTTCCAGAGCCAGGGCCCTTGGATGGTCCCAGCTCCTGTGGTCCAACCACAGAGACCCACCTCAGCGTGAGAGGGCAACTTTACTCTTACTTCAAAATCAAAGCTGAACATTGGGTAAAATCTGATATAATATTTAAAAAGTCTTTATGGGAATTTCCTTTAACTAAATTCACCAAGGAGGCAATACTGTGACAGGGTGAACATGCTGGAGAGTTTGGACCATCACCCAAAGGGCCTCCCCACCTGCTCCTCTCGGCTCCTCCAGGAGAGGGTGCCCTGGAGGTGACCTAGGGCAGAGTCCAGGGATGTGGCCAGGTGAGCAGCACCGAAGATGGCCCAGTTGGGGAGGTTTTGGGACTGGCAGGGAATGAACCTGGGTGCAGACACTCGGGGCCAAGCCCTAGCATGGGAAGAAAGCAGGTTCTGCTGTTTAATTGCAGTTTGGGGCCTTTTAAGGAGATCAATTAAAAAAAATCTCTCTGCTGACCCTCTCCTCCAGAGTCCTTGCCCAGCAGTGCAGTGAGGAGGGAAGGTGTTGTCTTTCACAAAAGCACCCCCGCACCTCCCAATCAGGTACCAGGAGGGGCTTGATGGGATCCAAAAATGGGATCCAAAAAGTGGAGGGACAGCAGGGGAGAAATGGCAAGGGAAGGACTTTGATTCATTTCTGTCAGGTAAAAAAAATTTTTTCTTGGACCTGGCAATTTTTCTTGTAGACTAGGGAATCTTGCAAGCCTTATGCAAAGACACAGCTAATACCTGTTAAATGTCTACTTGGCGTTTTACAACCAGTGACTGACAGAATCCAGCATCAACCAAGCCATGAGAAAAGCACCATGATTATCCCTCTGCAATGGCTAAGGATCCAGAGGAAGTGATTTGCCCAAGGCCACCCAACCAGAAAGGGACAGAACCAAAACCCACGCCCAGCCATTCCCTCTCCAGGGTTAGCCACAACACTGGGCTGTAACTATTCTTCCCAGGAAAGAGCTGTGGTGAAGAACCACCGTCAGGGCGTGGCAGGGCAGAGTAACTGCATTTATACTTGTAAAGTATTTTAATGAAATGTGAAAAGACATGCTAAAATCATTTTAAATGCAAAATTAATACATACATGACCTCAACTCAAAAATGCCACTTGAACGCCAGGCATGGTGGAACACATCTGTAATGCCAGCACGGAGGGGGCTGAGGCAGGAGGAGATGGACTTCCAGGTCAGCCTGGGCTACAACAGAGACCCTGTCTCAGAAACAATCAAAAACAAAAAATGCCACTTTGAAAAAGAACTGAAAGGAAGATAAAAACTTATGAAGTGTATTTTATTTATATATACATAATTCTCAGGCATGCAGAAAAATACCAAATGTTTGGTGAAACTGGAAAATTATGAGTGGGCTTTTTTTCTTCTTTTTCTATATTTTCTAAAGTTCTTTATTTTCTTTGAAATTATTTGCCCTTTTTTTGGTGGTGGTGGTGGTGGTGGTGATGGTACTGGGGTTTTGAATTCAGGGCCTTGTACCAGGTGTTCTACACTTAAGCCATGTCCCCTAGCCCTTTTTTTTTTTTTTTGGCTTTAGCTATTTATTCAGATAGGCTCCCAAGTTTTTCCAGGATGAGCTCCTCCTACCTACAGCTGGATGACAGGCGCCCACCACCCCGCCCCACTTACTTTTTGTCCAGACTGGTCTCAAACCTTGATCGTCCCAATCTCAGCCTCCTGAGTGGCTGGGATTACACGCAGGAGACATCTTGCCTAGTCCCATTATTTGCACTTGAAAACTGTTTGAGAGACAATTTCTTAGAAACTAAAAACCAAAAACAAGTGATTAAAAAAATTATGAGGGCTTTTCTATGAAACTCTTTGAATTAGCAATATTCTTAGAGTAGGCTTCTGAACAAACAGAAAAACAGAGAAGGGAAGGATTGAATTAAATGACACATTCAGTCCTGAATGTCAGCCTTCAGGGGAGGTCTAGAAAGATCTTCTCATCCTGCTTGTTTTAAAGAAGTCGTTGTATTATTTAATACATTCGTGCCCTTGAAAAGAAAACTTCCATCACCCTCGAAAAGCATTGTTTTGGAGGCAGACAAGGAGAACCCTGGACATTAAGCCATCTGGGTTCTGCCACCGGCCATTTTCACCTCCTTCGCCTGTTTCTCCAGCCAGAAATCCACTAGCTGTACAGTTCCAGCATTCAGATCTGATATGTAAAGGGGATGGATGCCTTCTGCACCCGGATAGGCCCAGGTCCTCATCGAGAGGCCTGGCTAGCGACCTTCAGGAGCCAGGAGGATGATAGTTGTGTCTGGGACCAGGTGCAGATTCCACCTGTGGGTGGGAAGGCAGGACCGGCTGGCAGGGGAGAAGGAGCAGCTGAATGCCACCAGCTCCTCATTATGGCCACTCTAGTTCTACAGCTGTTCCTGAGGCAGCTCTCCCTCCTAACCCCCATCCCCATGTCCCATCCCATCTTCTCTCTGCTGCAGTGGCAGTACTGGGGTTTGAACTCACGGCCTTGCATTTTCTGGGCAGGCACTCTACCTTTACCCCCACCTGTGCTTTCCTTCTTCACCAGAGCAGCAAACTTCAGCAGCCTCCACGGCAGGTAGGTGTTCCAAAAATTGTGTAGGAGGCTCACACAGAAGCCGAGCCGGTAAGGCTGAACACACAGGCTTGCTCCCACCTCTTGCAATACAAACTGCAGAGAGCCTGCCAGTGTCTACCACACAAACCCATTTCTGAATCACAAATCCTGGAAATTTGAAACACTCCTCAGATCCTCGCCTCTGCTTGGCGAGGCATACCCCCTTCTACCAGACTGGAAGCACACAGGGAGTTCAAAGCAGGATGGGTGCCAAGCTCCATGCTGGTGACAGGAATGTACCCAACCTGGGACCAGTTGCCCACCTCAAAATGTGTTGTACCTCACTGTGCATAGTGGTGCACACCTGCAATCCCAACACCCAGGAAGATGAAAAGTTTGAGGCCAGCCTGGGCTACATAGTGAGAACCTTTCTCAAAAAAACCAAAAAATCCCAAAACAAAAATGCACTAAACTTCCATCCAGAGTGTGCCCCTGACCCCCAACCCCTGCCACCCCACAGCTCTCCCTCTCCCAACAGAGATCCCACTTGCCTCATTATTTAAATAGTCTTTATTTTTCATGCACTAGGAAAGATGGGTCATATCAAACACTGCTTTTCACAGCAAAGGCCTCGGTTCAGAACACAACACAGGGGGCCAGCCAGGATCCGGGTCTGGTCAAAGACCTAGGGACCACAAAAGGAAGATCATCCCCAGGGCTACTGGCAAATCCAGCTATAGTGGCCCCAGAAACAACACAGGGCAAATGCCCCCTCCCACAGGGGCACAAGAAGCTGACACCAGAGAAGGAACACATGGACTGGGGAAGAACAGAGAAGGCTGCCTGGCAGGCAGTGATGCAGAGGCAGTGATCCAGCACCTCTCGGGCCCGACTCCCTCCCGAGGACTGGCACCCAGGCCCTGGCAAGCTCAAGCTCACCAGTGCAGAGCTGCTGGAGCCCATCAGCACAGGTACACGGGCTCCCTGCCTGCCCCTCTGCCACACCAACAAGTAGGGAGCTGAAGTTCAGCTGCAGCTAAAGAATGGACTTGCCAGACAGGACCCAAGAGGCTGAGGGGCCAGCCCCACACAGCCATCCCAAGTCCCTTGGACATGAAGGATACCCACAGGATAGCCAGGCTTCTAAGGATCCACGACAGGACTCTGACAAGGCCAGCCCTTAAATCTTGGCTACCAGGCGCCACCTGAGCCAAGACAACAGCAAAGCAGATTCCCAGGCAATGCTTTCAGTGAGGCAACCCAGGGACAGGTCATAGTCAAAGACATGCAGGACAAACACAAGGAACGGAGACATGCAGAGACCAAAACAGGTTGGGAGGGGTCCACAAAACATGGTCAAGGCGTGAAGATGGAGTGGAGGTGCCCGAGCCGGGTTCACTGAGGCCCCGGGCTTGTGGCAATGCCCGCCTCCTCTGGGATGGTCTCTAGCATCTCGCTCTGGACGGCCTGCGTGATGAGTGCCAGCTCCTGGCACAGGTCTCATGGCGGTAGCCCACGCGGATATCTGGCACATTGGTGCGACGAATATCATTACCCTCAGGCCCTTCCTTAGTATAGCTGGGTCCTAGCCAGTGGCTCTTTACCTGCAGGGGGCATGGGCAACAGGCAGGGCTGCAGCCAGTTCCCAACTGTCCCAGGCCCCCAGATGCACAGGCGGGGAGGAAAGAGGCGATGCCAAGGCCCAGGTGGGTGGGCAGAGTACCTTGTGGGAGAAGCCGCTCATGAGCACGCTGTTACGGGCTAGCTCACACATGTCACAAGAGCTGAGCTTCCACACCTGAGTGGCGATGCTGTACTCCTCCATCAGCGGCTCCTGCACAGGCCAGGTTCCCTCAAACAGGTGGCCCTGCTACCCACCCTGCCCTCCCCTGCACGGCTAGCCATTTAAGTCTGCTGTACTCCACCAACAGAGGGCAGCACCACCCCAGAGAGACCCCAGTACTGCAGGACACTGCACACGTAGCTACCCCCCGGGGGCTCTGACCTTGGTGAAGTGAAACTGCAGAGGGTCATCAGTGGACAATGAGACCATGAGACCACGGGACAGGTACTCAGGCAGTGGGTTCCGGTGGTAGCTGAGGAAAAGGCTATTGTTGCTGAGCGGGGACATGGCGATGCCTATCTGAGCCAGGTAATACAGGTACTGAAGGACAGGGGCCTGGGCAGGCGAGAAGGAGGCAGGGAAGGCTTGTCAGGTGATCCCGAGGCTGGAAGGCATGCTGGTTCTGAGGGTCCAGGCCAAAGCTGAGGGCAGGGGGTCCAGGCTGGGCCCGTGTGAGAATGGCGAGCTGAGTTCCAGCCAGAATCCAGGCTGGGCCCCCAGTGTGGAGGCTGGGAGCATTAGTTATATTGGGAAGGAGGCATCCGATGTGGGGGCTGGGTGAGGAGGAGGATCAGTTGCTGAAGGGGCCCACAGGGTTCAAAGGAAGGTGAACAGCTGTTGGGGGAGAGCTGGGGGCAGACCCTGACCTTGCGCAGAAGCAGCCCATGGGAGATGTTCTCAGCCAGCATGAAGGCTGACACCAGGTGGTGGATGGGCCCGGCCTCCCCGCAGTGCGGCCTCAGCACAAACGTGTGGAAGCCCCTCTGCCTGAGGCATGAAGACAGGGCTGGTGTCACAGCCTGCACTCACCTGTGCTCCCAAGCCCCCACCACAGAACACTTGCATCCCCCAGCCAGTGACTGTGTGGACCTGAGATAAGAGGCAGGGGTAGATTCTTGGCTGGGAAGGGGTGAGAGATGGAGCCCAAAGGCAGAGAAAGAGCCTAACTAGTCTGGGCAAAGGAGTCACAGAAGGGTCAGGATTCATGGTTGCCCCAGCCCACGGGGCCCAGAGCAAGTAGAGGTTCAGAACTTGGGGGTGGAGTAGGCACCTGCGCAGATGGTTTAACGTGGCCATGTTGGCAAATGTGTAATACAGGTAATAAGCATAGGGTGGGTTGTCCTCCTCCACCCAAGCCTCAGGGAGGGGGCTCTCCAGGTTGAAGACATGGTTCTCAGGCTTAGACTCATCATCCACACTGTCAAAACCATCCACCTGTCACAGAAGCCAGTGATCAGGCCTAGAGTTGTGGCTAGGCCTGAGCCCAGCTGTCCTGCCCTTGCCCAGCCTGTGCTAGCACTCACGTGCTCTAGAAAAAGGTGCAGCTCTGGGTGGCTGGCGGGGTGCACAGTAGCCTCAAACAATGGCAGGAAGATGTTCTCCAGCATCTCCTGGAAGTTGGCCAGCTGGCCCTTGGTGCGGTACACATCACTGCAAACGAGACAGCACACGAGCAGGTACAGGTGAAGACCAGCGGAAGGAAACTCAGCAGGCTGGTAAGTGTCAGAACTGGCCCGAGAGCACAGAGCTACTCTGGGAAAGCAGGCTAGCTGGGTGGGCCAGGCTGGACAGACTGTGGGGTAGGCCTGGGAGGTCTCTCCTTGCACGCAAAGGGCTCAGGAGGGCAGGAGGCAGGCCTGGTCCCCTTGACCATGACCATTGTGTTTCCTCCCACTCCAACGGACACTCACAAGAGGCGGGGCACCTGCACGAGCCAGCGCACATTGGGAGAGTGCACTCGGTGTGTCACGGCCCAGCGTGCCAGCTTGTCCCACTCGTCCCTCGAGCGACCATAGATGGAGAGCCGCAGCTCTGCATTCTGGTATTTGCTCTCCTCCAGGTCGGACATCACTTCCTAGACGTGTGGAGCAGCTGTTACACTCAGGCTCCTCCTAGGACCCCGCACCCACCCACCCACCACCCGTGCTCATCAGGCTTCTTCCAGCCTCGCTCCCCCCACACTCTCCGCTCAGGCTCAGGCTCTCAGTTCAGCAGGGGACGGCTGCCTCCATACCTTGATAATGTGTGCAAAGTACTTCCCGGAAACCCTGTTGTCTGTCTTGATGAAGATCTCTCGCAGGACAGACTCTCCAATAGGGTTGTATTTGGCATTGAACTTGTCAAAGCGGTGGAAGGTGTTCCTGTCCTGGGAGAGAACGGCAGGCCCAGGTCAACCCTGACCTCTGACCCCTGCATTGACCCAGCCCATGCTGCAGGGACAGACCGCGTGCACGTCGAGTGTGTCCACACTCAGGTCGTAGGCAGTGAGATTCATGCTCTCAAAGACCTCCCGCAGCGTCTGCTCGCGGCCCTGCTCCACATGTACAATCTCCTCTAGGTGTCGCTTCATGGCCCTCTTGATGAAGCGCAGCAGGTGCTTCTGGTTCATGCAAGATGAGGCATGGATGTGCGTGTCCACCTAGGGTGGAACAGGGCTGCTGGGTCCATCAGAGGCCAGGAAGGTCCACGGCCAGCACAGAGGGATGATAGGAGAGGGCTCTCGGTAAGGGATGGTAGGAGGGGGCCCAGCCCCTAGAAGGGAAGGTACAGGGTCAGAAAGCAGGACGGTCACCGGGTGAGGCCCACCTTGCGGATATTGTAGAAGTCTCGGTGTGGCACTTTCTTCTGAGCAGCCAGCTCCTTCATCTCATTGAGCAGCACGTGCATCTGGAACTTGGAGCTCAGGTACTGTAGCCGGCGGTAGCAGAACGACTTTCTGGGCAGAAGGAAGGAGAACAAGGAAAGGGAATCAGACCCTAAAGGAGGTACCTGGGGGTCCAGGCAGCAGAGCCAAGGAGGAGGCAAGAGTGTGAGGGGCAGAGGCTGCCAGAGGGCAGCGGATAGAGGGAAGAACTAAGACTTGGTGACTAAGGAGTAGCAAAAGCCCAGGCAGAGAGGGGCAGGGCTAAGAGGAGAACTGAGCAAGACAGCTGAAACTCACATGGGGCCATTGATGATCAGGGCCATCAGCACATTGACATCAGCCACAAATTCCTGTAGGTCAGGGTATGGCAGCTCCACCTCTGAGCAACTGGCACACGGGGAGTTTGGGTGAGGAGAGCAAGCCAGGCCCTGCAGCCCCTCCCAGGCCACTGCAGCCTCCCAGTGTCCCCCCAGCACACACCACACCCCTCTTACTGCTCATCGGGTTCCCGGTGCGTGTAGACATGCACCACGCCACGCACCATGCGCAGACCCAAGCCCAGGTCCCCAGGCATGGCACTTGGGTCACAGCGCTCATACGGGTGCTGCTCCAGCGCAGGGGGGTGCACCGGAGCATCTGCAAAGGTAGGAAGGAGGGGGTCAGCACCGGGGTTCCTCCAGGCCAAGGGATGCCCAGCTGAAAAGCCCCACAGAGGGCAAGGGACATCAGAGGCCTCAGCAGGACAGCTCCTGCCCAACTTCCACCCTCCCGGGTGCCAAGCAGCTGGAAGGAGCCTGGGTCTGGAGAGATGCAATGAAAGAAGATGCCAGGGCCTCAAGCACTGGGGGTGGGGCAGGGATGGGGGGTCCCACCGGCAGACACAGGGGTGTCAGGGCTCTGCTCATAGGTCCGTGTTTCCAGGGGCTTCTCTGCCAGCTGCTGCAGGTAGCGGCGGGTGGTGGGGCAGAAACTCTGCAGCGACAGGGTCATGTACTTCTCCCGGATGAACAGTGCCCGCACCACACTCTTGGCTGCATCCAGCAGGTCTGTGAATGGCACCTGGAGAAGAGGACGTGTAGTCACTCTCCTTGGTCCCCGATCCGCTCGTGCTTACCTGCTCCCTGTAGCCTTCTCCACACTGTCCCCACCTCCTGAAGTCCTCGACCCCAGGAACAACCAACCCACTCTGGTCCCAGCCTACCAGGGAGCTCCCAGCCAGACTCTCCAGCCCCAACCCCACACTCACCCCACACTTCTCCTCCCCGGAGATGGAGACCCGCTGAAATTCCCGTTCCAGCACCACATCACGCTCCCGCAGGCCCCGGTCACCCTGCCCCTCACCCTGCTCCTTGTAGAGCCTGCAGAGGAAAGGATGGGTGCAAGAGAGGAGCTGGAGCCTACTGCAGGATAGGCCTCAGTTCCACATCCCTGCATGTGCCCCTCTGCCTTCCTCACTGGAGGTCCGAGTCACTGTCTGTCTTCAGGAAATCTTGCTTAGCCCGAAGCAGGATGTCTGGCTCCAGCCTAGAGGTGAGAGAGGCAAGAGGTCAGGCAGAGCACGGAGGGTGGCTTCAACTCCCAGACCCCGCCATGTGTCCTGTATGTGTTGTCCCATGTGGGCCTCCCTGGCAGGGCTGCGGCAACCTGTGCCGTTCTCAGCCCACTTCAGAAAGGAGAATGCAGATCCAGTTTAAGCAGCAGACCCCAGGCCACCCCAGTGGATAAAAGAGCCAGAACCAGGCAGCCTGGCTCCAAAGAATGAGCTCTATGCTGTCTCCCAGGTGGACCCCAAGGACAGGATGGGATAGGATGGCACAGGGGCCAGGGCTCACTTGACATCTTGGCTGATCTGTCGCTCCAATCGCTGTCGCCTCTCCTCCAGCTGCTCAATGGGGCTCTCCTCCGGGAACTCATATGGGGCACTTCGGAGCTCACTCTCAGCCAGCGAGCGGCTGAACAGTTCCTAGTGGGAAGGAGGAAAGGGTGAAGGGTCAGGTGGCCTAACCCTCAGGCCCTCTGCCCTGAGTCCTCCCCTGCAGAGCCTGGGCATGGGATGCAGCAGCAGGAGCCAGGGTTCCTGGGAGAGGCTGAGGATCTGGGACAGCCAAGCGTGAGGTGAGAGGTGGCTGAGGTGGAGGGTGTGGGAGCAGAGGCAGGGTGCAGGGTGAGGGGGCACGGGGAGCCAGGGGATACCTCAGCGATCTCCTTGCATTTGCCATCCATAGACGTGCGCAGGTCGAGCGGGAAGTGCTTGAGGCAGGGGGCGGGGCCCGGCAGGGATCGGGCAGACTGCAGCGGAGGGGCCCCCAGACCACCCCGAGCCTCTGGAGAGACAGTGATGCCATGGTCAAGGGGTGGAGGAGCAGGGCTCAGGCACCCCTGGAAGCTGAGGATCCTTGCTTGCCCCAGGCCAGCCCCCAAGAGAGGCCAAGGCTTGGACTGTGGGCAGTCCCTCTACAGAAGCAGAGAAACGAACCCATGTGGCTCCCAAAGGTCCTCACCCTCATGTGTACACAACACCCCTGGCTATCCTCACCCTCAAGTCTACAAAGGGCCTCTCACCATCCCGGGCTTAGGGAGTGGTTTACTCCACAAATAAGAGCCTGAGGCCTGGGTGAGAGCTCATTTCCTCAGGTCATGAGAATTTGCACCGGACTACCTCCCAGAAATGGGTGCACATGTGGACATATGTACACAGGCAGAGACACATGCACACAGACGCGCACCAAGTGCTCAGTAAGGACCAAATGGTCATACCAGGGATCTCCAAACCTCAGTTTCCAGGGTGGCTAATCCATATCAGACCTGCCTTGGACTAGCAGATCCTCCACAGAGGAACAGGGCCCCCGCCTGCAGACCTCTAGGGCTCAGGGAGGCCACAGCAACCACCCCAGCTGACCTGAAGAAACAGCCCTCAGGAAAGAGAAGGACCTGGTTGGCAGAGAACCATGTCTCCTCCCTAGAGGCCTGCCCTCTCCCTAGGACCCCAGAGCTGCCAAGATGTGGCCTGGTCCCAGTCTGCACCTCCCACTGCTGGCTGCCCCTCCAAAGGGAGCCGCCACAAACAGCCTGCGCCACTCAGAGGCCCCAAGATCTGGGCCGGAGGCCCCATGGACCGCCGAGGGGAAAGGAGTATCAGAAGCCAGGAGTCTTTCTCCTCCGTCAAAGACAGAACTCTTTATCCACACCACCAGGAGGCTGACGCTAAAGGCCTTGAAGCTGCTAGTCTATGGCTGCTTGAGCTCCCAGCCCACCAGGAAGGACCCTCCCTGAGCTCCCAGCAGCCTTAGCCTCCCATGCAGGCGGCTCTCTGGGGAGGGACTCCCCTCCAGTACCTGCCCCTCCCCCCATGGCCCAGAGGAGGAATGGAGGCTCTGACCAGGTAGTATGCCTTAAGGTCTCTGTACCCATTTTCAAGTCCTCCAGGTCTGGTCCCAAGGTTGGACAAAGGGAAGAGGGAGGTGCTTACCCTAGCTCCAGGACTCAGTCGCTTGCTTGCCTTGGTCCTGCCTGGACTCTACCTGCAGAGTTCAAGCTGCTCTAGCTAGCAGCCCTGTGCCCCTTACCCGCCTGTTTGCAAGTAAAGCTGCAGCCAGTCCCCCAGGACAGCTCAGGGGCCGGCACGGGCTGTACCAAGTACAGCTGCAAGCAGGGGAGACCCTGGGATGGCCAGGAGCAGGGGCCTGAGGGAGCCCAGAAATCCAGGGAAGGAGCAGGAGTTGGGAGCTTGAACCAACAGGGTCTTAACCTCTTCAGTGCCAGGAAGGCTCAGTCAGACATGGGGCTCAGAAGGCAGAGAGGCAGGGCAGGCTGACAGGGAGGGGCCAAGTCTCCCTAAAACCTCAGTCCTGCGGGACAAGGAGTAGGCAGGGCCTGGCTGGCCAAGGGGTACGAAGGGAGAAAAGGAGGAGGCACAGCCCTCCTCCTCTCTGAATTTTGCATCCCCAGACCAGCATCCTCTGCCCCCACTGTCCTTTGGGTCCTAGCTATGGGGCAGCTTGGAAGAGACAGACCCTTGCTGACGAGAGAAGCTGGCTGGCAGCTGGGCCAATGTCTTACAGAGGCTTCACAGCCCCTAGACCTCTAATCTTTATCTCAAGCCCATTGTTCAGGAAGAACACTTTGGGAAAAGGGAACTAGCATTTGGAAGACTCAAGTCTGACTGTGCTCTGCCAGTCCTGTCCTGCCTGGCCATAGGCCCCATGGCTCACAGAGAAAATGCTCCACAAATATTCTGTAAAGCCCATGGCTCTGGGCCCAGGATCTGCAATTAGAAACTCCTGGGACCCTCAAAACACTTGCCATACAGATTGAGTAGGGAGGCTTGCTGAGCCCAGCACAGGGTCAAGGCAGCTAAGCGGAAAAGATAGCAAATACAACAGAACTTGGCAGGGGTGGAGATAAGGTGACACCATCTCTCACATGGAAGAGGGCATAGGAGAAAGAAGAAGGAAAGATGGGTACCTACCCACTCCTGGGGTATAAGGTCTTTGCTTTGCCCAAGAACCCAGATTCTATACTCCTCCAGACATAAGGCCCTAGCCTACTTCTAAGCCGCTCAAGAGGAGGCAGACCACAAGCCTCCATGGCTGCCTAGGTTGGTCCAGCAGAAGCTGAGCCAAAGGCCCTCATCTTAAGCTGGCTCCCAGCAGGTGGCTTGGGACCTTCACAACAAATGCTGAATGAGCAGGAGAGGTTCCAACAGCTACAGCCATCCCCCGCCAGCCTGCCAGGCCACTGCAGAGGACTGCCCGTGATTCATTGGAGGTGACACAAAGGCAGAAACCTTCTCACTCTCTCAGGCCAGGCCTAAAAGACTCAGCCCCCACTGGTTCCTTCTCCGGGACCTGGACCAGAGGTTCCCTGCCATAGCACCACACATTCAAACCCTCACTTACACAGGCAGTCAACCAAAAGCCAGAGGGGCTATTCTCCAGCCACTTCACCAACCTCAAGATTCTGGCACCTTGTTTTTCCCTCTCCTGATCAGGAGCCCCCTGTCAAGACTGCTTCAGTGGGCAGGGAGGTGCCCAAGGCTTTGACCCCCAAGTAAAAAGTGCTCTCACATCTGACCACCCAGGAGTCTCTGTTTCAGCAAAAAGGCAACCCATCCAGAATGAGCCCCAGGGCACACACCTTCAGAACTCCACAGAGAACACACACCCTCAGTACAGTACAGATTTCGGACCAGACATCTTCAACAGCTCAAGAAGAAGCTGATGGAAGGGGGCAGTCAGGCTACAGATAAGGGCAGCTGGAAGGGGTGGGTCAGTACGTCACCAAAGTGGGGGTGGGTCTTTCCTTAGCCACAAGGCCTGGGGGCAGCAAACGTCAGGCAGACATCCCCCAGGAAGCAACCGAGCATTCACCAAGCTGGGCACAGCCACACTACACCATTGGCTCCAAATGGTGCAGAGATGCCTACAGAGCAAGAGCTGAACAAAAAGGTGAGAGCACACAGCACACAGGCTGCCCCAAGGACACCCCACTCTAAGGAGGCTCACAACACAAACCAGAACCAAGCAAACAGCACAGGACAGTGAGAGTGGAGCCCTAGGTCTGGGATGCAGACCAGCAATGGCTGTGTGGAGATGTCAGACCCCCCAGGGGGTTCTAGAAAACAGGACCAAGCCCTGCAGGAAGATAGCCTGAGTCTGCCTGGTTCAGGCACAGGCACCAATCAGAGTGGCCAGTCCCCAAACCAGTCAGTCCCACACACCCCCATTCCATTCACACACACTTCATACACAATCTTAGCATCTGCACACGCAGACACGTGTGCACACACACTTCTTCAGCACCCACGCCCACACCCACTCCTTGTTACAGAGGACAGAATCCCTGACATAGAAACCTTAGGCACTCCCTCCCTGCTTCCCTCCTCTCACCATCCAAGCCAGCCAGCCGTGGGACAGAGGTCGAGGGGCACCACTGCGGAGAGGGTGCAAGAGAAGGGGGCCCCTCTCTGAGGTGTCCCGTGGCCTGGACTGGGGGTGGCTGGGGCAGAGCCGGTACCTGAGGCCACCAAGCACACACTCACCTGGAAATGCAGCGGAGGCCTGCAGACTGGCCCGCTTCTTAAAGGGATATTTGGCTTTGGATTTGCTGGAGCCAGATGGATAGGATGCCATGGCTGGAGCCAAGGCGACAGCGGACGAGTCAAAGCGGCACCGGCTGGGGCCTGGCTCTGCCACATCCAACCCTTTCCTCTGCCCCGCCCCCAGCGGGAGTGACTGATGCAGGAAGCAGCGCCCCGCAGGCGGAAGAGGCCCTGGCCACGATTTCTGATGTTGTCTAGGCAACCTCGGGGAGTGGGGCCTCCATCCCTGCCCCCTTATCATTCCCCTCTCTCCTCAGTCCCTGGAGTCACGTGACTGATGGTGGCTGGGCCTGGGGGCGGTGGGGGTGGTGAGGGTAGAGGGAAGAAGGTGAGGCAGAACCAACCCCCAGCTCTGCTCAAACCCCCCCCTCCTCCCAAGAACCCTCACCCTGGCCAGGGTTCCAAGGCAAAGGAGCCGAAGTCCAAGCTAGGCTGGTCCAGCCAGCCTGGGAGAAAAATAATAAATAGGATTCCAGCGTGAGGTCCTCCAAGCTCAGAACCCATTCGTCGTCTCAGGGCAGGACAAGCGCACGCATGAAAACCCAGAGCCCCCCTTTTTTCCTTCTCCACTGGACCCCCAGCCCCAAGAGTGGCACAGCTCTGGGAGAAGAGGGCAGAAGTGAGAATCCCAGCCCAGGAGGGAGGGGCCTGTCTTGGGAAAATTCCACTGTCCAGCTGTCGCTGCTTCCTAGGAAGGCAGGGAGGCGAGACACAAGCAGGTCTGGGGTCTGTGGGAAAGACCCCAGTCCTTTCTGACTTGTCCCTCCGTCGTTAAACACCAGGGTCTGCTTCCCCTGACCCTTCCGGGGGGAACTCGCCGCCTTCCCTAGGTCCTGAGGCTGTGCTGAGACCTCCCCTCCCTCTTGACACCCTGGTCCATACCACTTCTCTGTCCAGAGTCCCCCTCCGCAACACACGCGCGTACGCTTACCTGAGGCCATGCTGCCCGAGTCCCGAAAGGCACGGGGCTGCTGCCCACGAGGGTCTGCCCAGCGCGGGGAAGGGCCCGGGTGGTGAGTCGGGGGAGGAAGGATGGGGTCCAGACCCCCGCCAAGTCGCTCCACGAGCCCCCTGCCCCAGCACTAGGAAGGGGAAAGGCAGTTTTTCAAAATGGCCAGCTGGCTGGAGGCTGACCCCAGCCGACCTCGGCTGCCGGAATGGCCTCGGGAGACCCCACTGCGTCCTGACCCCCCCCACCAAGCCCCGCACGCGAGAGGCGGGCAGACCACGTGCTCCGCAGAGAACTCGTCTAGACTTCTTTCAGTACTCCCTGGGTTTTGGGATCCGGCTGCCGGTGGCTGGACTGCCACAGAGTTACGCAACAGGTGGGACCCCTCCTAAACCTCCCGGGCGCCTCGCCAGCCTCCGCCGCCCCAGGCCCAGCCAGGTCCGTGGCCCCGCCCCCAGGCCGGCCCCGCCCACGCCCGGCCAGCCCCGCCCACGCCATTTTTCCTCTTCCCGGGCGCCACGTGGGCAGCCACCACGCCATGGTTGGCCCGGCTTGGCCCTGGGTCTTGGGCAAGTGCTGTGCGTCAGCTTCCTCATCAGTGGGACGGGATGGGGTAATAGCAGTAGGGGTTATTGTGAAGATTAAACGTAAAGCACCTTTACGCAGTGCCTGGCACTAAGTCAGAGCCCAATGATAGCTGTTTCTATGGCCCCGGTATTCATTTTAAGCAGAAGCCCCGCGCCTACATTCTCTGCGTTCTCACCTGGTTCTGTTTTCTTTTGGCAGGCGTTGGTAGGCAGGCCTTGCCCTGCAGGACTGGCTCCCCTTCCCATATTAATTTCTATATTTAATGGGTAGGAGCTTAAACTCTGGCCAGAATGTCTGGGTTCAAATTCACACTTCTCCACCTATTTCCTAACCAACGTTGAACAAGTTACCTCACTTCTCTGTGGTTCTATGTAGTCTATAAAATCAGTGAAAGAACACCTGCTCTATTAGGTGGTTAAGCTGTGTTAATGTAAGTTAAAGTGCTTAGATCTGTATCTGGCCTGTAGCGACTACTCAGTGTTCGTTGCATTCGCCTTGGGTCCCTGTTGCCACCTTACTGGTTCACCCTCTGGCCTATAAAGAAGAGTTTGGGGAAAAGAGGAAGGGAGTTGGACTGTTTGGAGGACTACAGACACCCTCTCCAACCAGGAATCCCATGTCCCAGAGGCAGGGAACTTGGTGAAGGCAGTTCTTTCTGTGAGCATAATTAAGTTTATGAGCAGCAATTAGTCTCTTTCCCACTCTTTGCTTTGTGGGAGCCCTTTGTCCCCACACCCAGTTGTTCTAATGCTGTAGAATCAGCTGCACCCAGTTCTCACAATCCCACACTGAGCTTTGTCCCAAACTCTGTGGAATTCTGTCTTCTCTCACCACCCTGGATTCTGGACCCTGTACTCTATTCTCTGCCTACATCTGGTGCAGCTCCATTGATGCCATCTACTGCTCCTTAAACTTAAAAAACCATTGCCTTGAGCTGGGGATCTCAGCTCAATGATAGACTGCTTCTGGGTTAAATCCCCAGCACTGCCAAAACACAACAAAACCCTACCATGCCTGCATAAACATGGAAGGAATAGTCCATCGCACAATAAAACTCAATAAAACTAAAAAGAGAACATGGAGATGCCACCTTTTTTGGTGGGGACCAGTACTGGGAAGTTGAGCTCCAGGCCTGATGCTTATCAGACAGGTGCCCTACCCCTTGAGCCACTCTACCAGGCCTTTTTGTGCTTCCCCACCCTAGCAGGGATGACAGGTGCGTGCCAACATGCCAGCCACCGATTGAGATGGGGCTTGTGAACTTTTTGCCCAGGCTGGCTTTGAACCTCCACCCTCCAGATCTCTGCTTCCAGAGCAGGTAGGATTACAGGTTTGAGCCACCTCACAGGCTGAAATGTCATCTTTACATATAAACAGCAAAGACTAAGAAAAGCATCCTAGCACAAGCAAGGGAATAGTTAGTGAACTGAGACACTTGAACACACGCACATATACACACTACTGGGGATCATAAACATCTTTCCAAGAGGGTCTCAGAAAGGTTCCTGCTATTTCACCCAGTAATCTACTTCCAGGAAATTGTTCTTTTAAAAAGAATGACAAAAAAAAAAAAAAACTCCATAAAGCTGTTCATCAATGTTTATCACACAGAAAATTTGGAAACTTAAAGGTATGACAATGGGCAAATGTTTAAATTATGCTATATTCATCCAATGAAATACAGTCATTAGAAATTCTTAGAGAAATTTTTTAATGATGTGAAAATGTTTATAACATAGGTGAAAGAATGGATGCAAACAACTGTGCATGTATGCTCCTAATTACGTGGTATTTACACACAGAAAAGAAACACACCAAAAAGTTTAAAAATGACTGACTGAGGGAATTATGAATTATGTTTAATTTCTTTATGCCTATTTTCACTTTAAATTTTTCCCACAGTATATATCCCTTAGTTTTATAAGCAAGGGGAAGCAAATCAACAAAAGCCTGCAATCATCTCCATGGCCACCCAGTCATCTCCATGGCCCCCCTCCCCAGATTTAAAGTGGGCTAATTTTTTTCACATGCCTGAATAACTATTTTATTTATTTTTTTACTATTGTACTAGGGGTACATTGTGGCATTTACAATGTTCTTACAATATGTCAAATATATCATAGTTGAATTCACTCCCTCCATCAAAAGTAAGCCATTTTTAATATGGCCTCCTAGGTTGGTCTTAGGGCCCTTAGGAATTTTAAGGATGTTAGCTCTTAAAAATGAATAAATCTGATCATTAAAACTTAAGCACCATGTAACCACGTAGGGCATCTATATGCAGATAAGATGCAAATTTTGACATAACTATAAGGGCCACAGTCTTGCACTGGGCCAGACCTCTTTAGCATCCTATAACCCAGATCTACTTGCCCAGCTAGCCCCAGCAAGTAGCAATCCCTCTCCTCCACCCAACCCAGGCAAACCAGTTCACTAGTTCCTTGATGAACCTCCCTAGCCCCACAAGCAGCACACCCTTTGCTCTAAAATCCTCCCCTATTTCCAGGCCATCTGGTGTTTAGTCACTGCTAGGAAGTCTGCCCCGTTTCCAGCTAAGCATCAATCTCCCACCCACCAACATCAACAAGAATCTCAGTGGTGTTTCATTGTCTATGAACAGAGCTTGGGAAATGGAGTGAGTCATCATGTCGCCTTAGACCTTTTCACATTGAAGCCTTAGTGCTGTTATTAATGTCATCCAGGACCTTCTCTAGTTCTAAGCACACCTTCCTTCCCTCCCAGGCTATTCCCACCCATCACTTTTTAATTCCCTGCCCGCCCACCTCCGTCCCCCCAAAAAAGAGCACAGATCCCCAATGTTAACACCCTCCTATTTATCTGAAGAACCTGCTTCTCTTTCCTTCTGGTTCTTGGCTCACTGGTGATGTAAGCCTCCCTAGGCCAGAGCACTCCTAGCAGACCCTAGGCTTGGGAGAGAATGCACACAGCTCCAAAAGACCCTTGGTCAGGGCAATTTCCTAAGCCCTGCCCTATGCCCAGGCCCTTGTAGAGCCAAGCTGTTAGGTTCCTCAGCTTCTCCTAGAGACCAGCTCCTCCTACTCCCTCACGTCAGTCATCCAGCACTGTTTGTAACACCATGCAGCTGTGTCCATCTGTACTGGTCTGTTAAGTCCCCGGTGATTTTAGCCAAACCCTTTACAAGGCTCTTCACTGGCTGGGTCCAATTTCCTTTCCTGTCCTCATCTCCCAGCTCTTCCCTCCATACATCTTTCACTCTAGCTCAGAAACCTTAAACTTTCCAGTCTCTCTGAAGACAGTTTGTGCCTCTATGCCTTTTTTCCTCTCCCCAAATGATCATACTCTGTTTTTTTCTGCTGATCTGCCCCTGTGGAAAGTCTGTCCATTTTACAGTCACTCCTTCCTTTCTTCTACCACAGAACTTGCATCAACCTGGCAGTTAGATGCGTATATAATTGCCTCTCTACCAAGGGTGGAGGCTAGATTTTAAACAGCTCTGATTTCCCCAGCATTAGCAGTCACTTTAATTAAACTGTTACTTTGAATTTCCCCAGCCTCCTCCTTTGAACTGGAAGTTCCTGAAGGCAGCTCTTTTTCCTTCATGTTCCCCCACTACAAGTGGGACAGGGCTTATCACTGGATGTAAGACAGATCCTAGACCTCCTCTTATCTCAGGAAACATCCCCATATTCAGTAGGAAAGTGATTCTTCTTTCCCTCAAAATGATATGGCTATAAAGGGTTGTGACCCAAGCACCTGAGCTACGGTTGTGATTGTTACAAGCACCCTCACTGAAAGGATCACTTCAGTCACCCCGAAAATGGGCATTGCACTTTCTGCTGTATCTTCTTCATCAGGACCCTGTCCCTAAATGTGATAATCAAGTAGAACAGCCACAGGAAGTGCAGAGCTGACAGGCAAAGTGGGTGGTCACCAGCATGGGTCTGTGTTCTGAGGCCAGGCCAGTTCCCTCCCTGGACTTGGTGGTGAGAATGGAGTGCTCCCACCCAGCAAGCTAGCAAACAAAGCAGAGGCAGCACCAAGTCTTTAGCAATGGAGGCTGAGAAAGGAACACACTCAGTGTGGGAATCTGCTGCTCTCAGATTCCCACATTTACCCAAGAATTTTTCTTTCACTGGCTGCTTATGGGGCTAAGGATTGGTAGTGAAAAGGAAGATCACTGATGGTTGTTTACTAAGTTATGAGACCATGTAAAGCTGTGGAACCCTCAATTAAAGGCTGTAATCCACATAAAAAAAATCTATAGTTCCTGGCAGTCCCTTGCTTTGAACAGTGTGGCCTTCAATACAGTCTGGCTTAGGTGTAAGTTACCAATATGGTAGGTAGGACAGGGCTTATAATTACTGGAACCTTATAGCCAAGATCCCAAGACAGCCACGATTTCAACACAACTCTCTTGTTTTCCATTAAGTCGATAAGCACTTGCCAAGTTTTGGGAAGACAGGATTGCCATGGAAGGCACCTCAGCAGCCATCTACTTCACCAGCCCTGAGAGTCTGGCCTCCCAGGTATTCAGCTGGAAGGTAGGGGATGAGAGGGTGATCAGTGACAGCTCAGGGTGTATGGCAGGTGGGAGATCTAGATTCTGCCTTTCACTTTCTCCTCCCACTGGCCACTGCTGCACAATTCTACTATAAAAGGGGAATCCTTTTAGCTTATAAATTCTCTACCTTAACTGTCCATAGGAATCACCTGAGAAAATTTTAACTCCTCATGCCCGGAAGGCATAACAGACCAATTCAATCAGTATTTTATTTATTTATTTATTTATTTATTTATTTATTTATTTTTTTTTTAAAAAAGCTCTCCAGTAAACACCAATGAATACCAAAAATTGAGATCAACTGTTCTAGGCCAGAGTTTTTAAGCCTGTCAAAGGACAATAATCACCTGTATTAGTTTAAAATATTTTGCAGAGTTGAGTGGCTGTGGAATTACCACTAGTACTAAAATTTATTGACACTGTTTTAACATCTTCAAAAGCCAGATGATCTTCCTGTTGGTGGCACGTAACACTTCACAAAACAGAAGCAAGCATGCCACATGATTCCTGGGATTAAGTAAACTAGGAAGAAAAATATTCCCTACGGCAGTATTTCTGAAACCTTAATGTCCTCAGGGCCATGTGAGATCTTGTCAAATGCCGATTTTGAAATGGAAAATGTCTGGTTTGAGGCCTGAAGCTGCATGTTTCTAGCAAGCTCACCTGATCACTTGATAGTGCCCATCTTGGTACTACAGGTAGCTAGCAGAGTTGTAAAGGCAAGAGCGTGCAGTGTCTGTGAGGCAACCTGCTAGCCTGCACTCTCATCTTCCCGGGGAAAGGCAGCTGGCATAAGAGCCAGGGGAGAGCTGCCTCATCCTCTCTTGGCTCTAGCAGCTTAGAGTCCATTGCCCAGGGAAGCAGAGTTTATTGCTTCCCTGGGCAATAAGGTCTGCCAGCCAAGTTCACTTACCAAGTGAAGCTGAGTCTCAGGTGGCTCTAGTAGGTCAAGCAGACCCATTCTTCACATCCTTCCCTTTTTGCTTCACAGTCATTCACCAACATTTAGTGAGGACACACTAATAAACTACAAGTTCTGAGGAGTTCAGAGATGAATCAGATTTGGTTCTTGACCTCCAAAGGGAGAAACTCACAGTAGGAAATAGATTAGTAATTCAAAGTACAATATGAAGTGTTAAGCACCAAGGACATAAATATGAAGAAAGAAGAGCTGGGGTCATGGCCCCAAGTGATAGAGCATTTGTCTAACAAGTGCAAGGCCCTGAGTTCAAACCCCAGTATTGTCATAAAAGGAGAAGAGGAAGTAACTACGTACAAAGTGATAAGCAACATAAGGGAACAACACTAATAGCTTCTTGGAGCAGCAGCTATTGGGGAAGCTGAGTGCGACATTCCCACCTTCCTTGAGAAATTTTTTGCCAGGCTCTTTGATACCTTGAAACTTTGGAAATCGAGATCCCACAGCTTAGAGGCTCAACATGGGGAGTGCTTTCCTTGGTCTGTGCCCCTAACCTCCAGCTGTGTGGCACAAGGGAATCCAAGGGAGCGCTATGCCCTTCAGAAGGGTGGAGGTGGCCATTATTTCATCCCGGAGAGCTCCAGAACCAGCACCCTACCGTCTTGCGTCAGAACGCGATCGTTTTCCTCATTACAGGACGTTTGAGTGCTTGCCCTGTGTCCTATTGGCAAAGCTCTTAATTGGCTTGACTTGTCACATTGCTAGACATAAATATGAAAATCCCTAGACTGAGAAGTAGGGCTCCAGTTGGGGTGGGGAGTCCCAGCTAAGGTAGGCAGGACACAAGAGCCTGCAGCTTGCTCTCTCATCCAACTTTTAGGGGAGTGAAGGAAAGACACTGTATCCCAACTTTTTTCCTTTTCTTCGATCTCCTTACAGGAGAAATTTAACAGGCCAAGGGAGGGGCTGAGGAAGAGACCGCAGAGATGGGAAGTGGAATAAGTGCTGAGGACAAAGAATCGGCCAAGAGATCCAGGGAACTGGAAAAGAAGCTGCAGGAGGATGCTGACAAGGAAGCCAAGACTGTCAAGCTGCTATTGCTAGGTGAGTGACATGGGAAGAAAAGCTAGAGAAGAAGGCAGTGCTCCATCCTGCTTTCCCCCATGGGGAGAAGGGAGACAAGTCAGTTTTCCTCTTCTTAACCCAGGCTAGGAGCTGTAGGGCTGAGTTAATATGGAGCCTGTGCAGCTACCCAATGGGGACCCAGAATGCCAAAGTTATTGGAATTTTCTGCTCTTCTTTGAACCAGAAATATTGCAAGGATCCATCTCCAAATCTAATCAAATGTTTAGATCTCCTTTTAGCTTCACAAATACCAAGACCCTTCACCTTGCAGACACCTAATAGGTCATGGAATCAGAAGAGAACAGGACCTTCCCTCACCAATGGATTCTGAAGTCCCACCATGCAGTCTCACCACATAGTCCTAAGGAAAGGTCCACTGGTTCCTTCTCCTTGATTTCAATATCAATTTTGGAAGTAGGGAGCCCTGACAGGAGGAGGAATGGAAGTCCTCCTGACTTTCCTATTAGGTAACTGCCTCTGAAGCCCCTGCCAATGGGAGGTTCATCAACTTGACAAACTCATAAGCAGATCACTGGCGTGTGCTGAGAAAATAAGAGTACATCAGTGGGTCAATCAGGGAAATTAATCATGGCTGTAAATGGAACCAAGATAAGAAACTTTGACATCTGGCTTAGGAAAAAATAAGAACCATCACCACCTATGGTAGTACAGAAGTAGGCTAGCTGGAGCAGATGGACCTGGCTGCACTGGCTGGGTTTTCAAACCCATGAGGACCCTGGGAATTGGAGCAACGAGGCTAAGGTGCCTCCATTCCCCCAGCTTATCTGCGGCACAGCCCAAGGACATTCTCCAGAGGCATATCTCTGTAAGCCAGACCCAGGTTCCAGGGAGTCCAGGAGTTATACAAGGGGATAGAGATGGCAGGGCCACTGAGATCTTTTAAGCCTAAGCTGATTTCTTCTAGGTTTAGGATAAGCAGCTTACAGGAACAAACATTGGCCAAGTGAGAGGGGGTTAAAGGATCAGGGCAGTGTAGACAGAAGGTGAGGACTGAAAGAAATGAGGGGAGTTTTTTTGTTGTTTTGTTTCGTTTTGCTTTTTTTTGGTGGGACTAGAGTTTGAACTCAGGCACTCTACCACTTGAACTATACCTCCAGTCCATTTTGCTCTGGTTATTTTGGAGACAGACTCTCATGAATTATGTGCTTGGGCTGGCCTTGAACAATGATCCTCCTGGTAGCAGCCTCCCAAGTAGCTAGAATTACAGGTGTGAGCCACAGGCACCTGACAGGAATGTGAGGTTTAAATAGGTAAGAGGAGTGTGTGTATAAGGACATTAGAACATTTTAGTCAACAGAGGGAACCATCAAAATGATGAAAAAGTATTTCAGAGAAGTGGCCCAGCTCTCTCCAATCCTAACCAAGACGGCTCATCTGAGTCAAATATGGGCTCTGAGGAAACATGCTAAAGGAATTTCCACATATACATCAGTGGTTCTCTATGGGGAGATTTTGACTTCAGGGCCCTTTGGAAATGTCTGGAGACAATTTTGGTTGTCACAACTAAGAGAGTTCAATGCTACTAGCCTCTAAAGGGTAGAGGCCAGGAATGGTGCTAAGCATCCTATAATGCACAGGGAAACCAGCTGCAAAAAAAGAAAATCCACCCCTAAATGTAAATAGTGCTAACATTTGAGTCAAATGGCCTGAGCTCACGGTGCCAGAATTTGAGGGCAGCAGTCATCCCTACCTGTTCTCCCCTAGCAGGGCTCCCAAGGCAGCACTTCTCAGTGATCATCCACTGGAATGTTTGGGGGGGTGCAGGGGGAACACTGGGGAAATTGGAAGCATGAGCATTTCTCCTTCCAGGTGCTGGTGAGTCAGGAAAGAGCACGATCGTTAAACAGATGAAGTGAGTAGAACAAAGCCCCAAAGGACTGAGGTATTGGGAGATCATAGGTGGGGCTAGAGGAAGTGTCAGAGAACTTGACCTGATTTCCAATGCCCCTGCCTCTTACCCTGCACTTTGGGTCCCCCCAGATTCCCAAACCCTCAGGTATGGTTCTCCCATCCAGCTAAAAGCTAGGTGTCTGGCCCTTAAAGGATCATTCATCAGGATGGCTATTCACCAGAAGAATGCCTGGAGTTCAAGTCTGTCATCTATGGGAATGTGTTGCAGTCCATCCTGGCTATCATCCGGGCCATGCCAACACTGGGCATTGACTATGCAGAACCAAGTTGTACGGTATGTGATTAATGTTACATAGTTAAGGGTGGAAGCAGGAAAGGCTAATGAGAAGAAATGGACCAGAAACCAACAAACTCTGAGGCAAGCTGGGTCAGATCCTCTTAGCCAGCCCTGGAAAAGTAAGCAACCCCTACCTTTACAATAAATGTTTACAAAATCTGCTTTCAGCTTCCTCAGCTTTTCTGCCTTATTTTACCACTAAAATTGCTCCCCTTGGGCTTCCTACCGCCCCCCTGCCCCAGCACTGGGGTTTGAACTCGGGGCTTCATGCTTGCTAGGCAGGTGTTCTTACTGCTTGAGCCACTCCACCAGCTCCCATGGGCTTCTTGCCTTGGCCGTAGAACTTTTAGAAGCTAAAACCTTCCCTCTAGCATTGACCTTTTCCTAGATTTGAATCACTGAAAGAACAAAGGTGACAGGTTCTTGTTTTCCACGTCTATTCTTGGTCAGTCTAGCCTTTAAACTTCTAGTCTCCCTGCAGCAGTCCTTTCAGACTAAGGCTCAAAGCCTGGGAACACCAGAGAAGAAGCACCTGGGACTCAGTTATCCTCTAGGCTTCCCAGAGCTGCATGTATTGCCACCTCTACATTTTGGGAGCACACTCAAAATTAGTATGTCTTCTTCCCATCCTCCTTTTTTTTTTTTTTATTTGAACTCTGGATACCTCCGGCCATTGTCATTCTGGTTATTTTGGAGGTAGGGTTTTGCTTTTTACCCAGGCCAGCCTGAACTGCAATTCTCCTATCTTAAGCTTTTGTGCTATCACTGGGATGACCAGTACAACAGCTTTTTTCCATTTGAGATGGGATCTCACAAAGTTTTTCACTCAGGCTGGTCTGAAACAAGGATCCTCCTGATCTCAGCATGAGCCACAGTGCCTGGGTACTATGTTTTCTTAGATGGACCTTCCATCAGAGACTGCCTCTGCCTTAGGCTTTGATAACAATGCAAAACGCTTTCCATTCGTGGGGAAGGGGGATCCCAGGAACCTCCTGGACAGCCATTACTGCAATGTCCTTCTCAGCCAGGTTTCTGCATTTTACAGGATGATGGTCGGCAGCTCAACAACCTGGCTGATTCTACTGAGGAGGGGACCATGCCTCCCGAGCTGGTGGAGGTCATCAGGAAGTTGTGGAATGATGGTGGAGTACAAGCCTGCTTTGACAGAGCTGCAGAGTACCAGCTCAATGACTCGGCATCTTAGTAAGTCTGGGAAGGAGATGGGATGATACTTAAGCAATCTTCCAAGAGAAATCTCACACAACAAAAGCATTGAAAGCTAGAAATCCACAGTCTGAATTTAATGCCACAGGGCTATTTTCCATTTCCCACTATTCTACATTACTTTACACTGGCTCTTTGCAGCCTACAAAGCTGAAGACACAAAATTCAAATCAGAAGTGCTTTGCATAGCAGGCCCCAATCCAGTTCTCTTCAGACATACACTCAGGACCAGGCATGGTGTTACACACCTATAACCCCAGCTACTCCAGAGGTAGAGCAAGGAGGATCACAATTCAAGGTCAGCCTGGGCAAATAAGTTAGTGAGACCCTATCTCAAAAAACAAGCTGGGCATGGTGGTACACAAAATCCAGCTACTTGGGATCCTCCATAGGAGGATCTCAGTCCAAGGCTGGCCCAAGTATGAGACCCTGTCCAAAAAATAACCTAAAGCAAAAAGTACTGGGAGCATGATTTAAGTGGTAGAGTGCATGCCTTGCAAGCATGAGACCCTAAATCCAAGCCCCAGTACCACCAAGAAGAAAAAAAAAAGCACCCTCAGACACTGCTAGGGCAAACCAAAGGAAGGTTTAGAGAACAAACCTCTGCCTTAGGCTTTGATTACAATGCAAAACGCTTTCCATTCATGGGGAAGGGGGATCCCAGGAACCTCCTGGACAGCCATTATTGGAAGGAATTAGAGATAACTTGAGAAACTAGTTCCAAAAAAATAAGGGACAGAGAGTTTATCAAACCTACCCCCAACAGTATTATCACAAATGGACATGAGCTTCAGAGTCAAATGGACCTGTGTTTAATCCCCATCTGACACCTAATCTTGACATAATGCTGTCATTTATTATCTCTGGAATGCTCCCTTACTAGGTAAGTTTTTATTAACTACTAGGTAGTTTCTATTAACTCCATTTTAGAGAAGAAAAACTAAAGTTCAGTAAAGTAAATTAACTTGCCCAAGGTCATACACATAAATAGTAGAGGTTAGATTTGCGTTCAGGGGTGCTTGACCCTGGATATAGTATACCAAAATGCCTTTATTTGAGACAGGATCTCGCTTCGTAGTCCAGACTGGCCTTAGCCTCCTGGGTGCTAGGACTTACAGGCCTCCATCACCACACTCTGCTCCTCAGTGCCTTTTCATCTTTCTTGCTTTCCTTTTTTTTTTTTTTTTTTTGGTACTGGGGTTTGAACTCAGGGCCTACCCCTTCAGCCATTCCACCAGCCCTTTTTTGTGAAGGGTTTTTTGAGATAGGCTCTCCAGAATTATTTGCCTTGGCTGGCTTCAAACTGCGATACTCCTGATCACTGCCTCCTGAGTAGCTAAGGTTATAGGTGTGAGCTGCCAGCACCTGCCTTCATTTCATCCTATTTACTCTTATTTTTCCTTCCCTCTTCACCTAAGTCATTTCACTTCACATCTGCCTTCTTCCTACCCTTTTTTAGCTTTCTTCTTTATGGCAACTTTCAAACATATATAAAAGTGAAAATATATACTGAATTACTTAGTTTTAACAATTAACTCATGGCCATTCTTGATTTTACCTCCACCCCCACTGGATTATTTTAAAGCAAATCTCAACTATCATTTTGTCCTAAAAATTTCATTATGCATCTCTAAAATATAAAAAAACCACAGTATCATACCTAAATATTTAACAATTCCTTAATATCTTCAAATATCAAAATCAGTGTTTAAATTTCCACAATTATCTCAAATGTTTTCCCTCAATTCCAATCAATCAATCATTCAAAGAGCTAGAAAGGCTTAGTCAGGCAAAACCCAAGGAAGTTATCTGACTAGACTTACATGGACAGAAAGGCTGCCTCAAACAGGCTTGTGCCTCACCCTGCTACCCACTTTTATAAGGACTCATGAGGGTTTGAAGAAAATGCTACATTTAATGTTGTGGATTCCAGTCCTGGTTCTGTTGCCACATTAATTGTGCGACTCTGGGTTAAGACACTCGTCTCCATTGGCCTTGGCAAATGTAATGCCATCAATGTCAAATCATTTTTTTCTAGCTACCTGAACCAGCTGGATCGAATTACAGACCCTGACTACCTCCCTAATGAACAAGATGTGCTCCGATCCAGAGTCAAAACCACAGGCATCATTGAAACCAAGTTTTCTGTCAAAGACTTGAATTTCAGGTGGGTATGTGGTTTCCTGGAGCAATCCTACGAAAGGGGCACAGACATGCTTCTTGGCCTTTGCTGAAGCCTACTCCGAATGACTGTCCTACTTCTACTTTCCTCCCCACTTCCAATTTTGCTAACTGGCCCAAAAATGGCCACCTCTTGGAGTGACCACCAAGGCATGCCTATGAGAATAGCTGCTTCTTCCCACAGGATGTTTGACGTGGGAGGGCAGAGATCAGAAAGGAAGAAGTGGATCCACTGTTTTGAAGGAGTGACCTGCATCATTTTCTGTGCAGCTCTCAGTGCTTATGATATGGTGCTGGTGGAAGATGATGAAGTGGTGAGTGGCCTTTGCATCAAGCAGCTTCAGTGGAGTTAAGTTTCGCTGTGACCCTTTCTCTAAGCCATGTGCCATTCCAATGCCTCAACTGAGTGATTTCAGCTAATACTGACAGCCTAGCTGCCCTCTAACAGGTCAATCAAGTTCTTATGTAAACATCCATAGCGTGTGTAGAACTGGGGTTTGAACTCAGGGCTTCACACTTGCAAAGCAGGTGCTCTGCTGCTTGAGCCACACCTCCAGTTCCTTTCTGCTCTGGCTATTTTGAAGATGGGGTCTCTCAAACTACTTGCCTGGGCTGGCCTTAAACCTTGATTCTCCAATTCCAGCCTCCTAAGCAGCTAGTATTACAGTGGCCTAGAGCCACTGGCACTAGGCCTGTGTTCATTTTTTTTTTTTCAAGTACTGCAGTTTAAGTTCAGGTCCTCATGCTTGTTAAGGTTGCTCTACCACTTGAACCACTCTCCCAGCCCCTTTTTTGAGTTGGGTATTTTATTTATTTGTTTGTGTGTTGGTATTTTTGAGACAGGGTCTCCCTTTGATTTTGCCAGGCCGGCCTAGAACTGCTATCCTCCTGAGCCCAGCTGTATGTTAGCATTTTAAAGCTCCAGATTTATTGAGAGTGAGCTTGGTATCAGATTAGGCATCCAAGTAGCCCTTGGCCATCACAAAGCTCAAAAGATGAAGTGAGTATTAGAAAGGTAAGGACTCATCAAGTAGGCAAAGCAATTAGTTATATTCTGTCAAGCTGCCTATGAAGTAAAGAATGGGAGATGAGCTGGTGAAGTGGCTCAAATGAAGTGTGAGGTCCTGAGTTCAAACCCCAGTGCCACCCCAAAAAAAAAAAAAAAAAGCGAGAGAGAATGGGAGGTGAAAACGGCGGAGCAAAACAGATTACATATGTTATGTATGTCTTTTTTTTTTGGCAGTACTGGGGATTAAACCCAGGGCCTCAAGCGAAGCTGGGATTATAGGCTTGGACCACCTTGCCTGACTGGTACCTTTCCCTTCTCCCTTCCTTTTTCTCCCTTCCTTTTCCTCCCTCCCTTTCCCTTCCTTCTTTCTTTTCCTTTTTTCTTTTTCCTTCCTTTTTTCCTTTTGTTAGTACTAGGGACTGAACCCAAGGCATCATGAAAGCTAAGCAAGTGCTCTACCATTTGAGCAATACCTCTAGTCTTTTTGTTTTTATCTGGTTTTTGAGATGGGATCTCAAAAACTTTGCCAGAGCTGGCACTAAACCTCTTTCCTCCTATCTCTGCCTTCCAAGTAGCTGGGATCACAGATGTGCACCACTACACCCAGCTGATGTGTACCTTTATACAATATAATAAAGGGGTTGAACTACTAACCTCACTGAGAAGCCTAAAAATGTACTGAGTGTCAACATAAATAAGGAGAGACTGGTACACCAGGTTTCTCACGTGCCAAATAAATTGGCAGCTGGAGGACCAAGTGATTCCCTCTAAACTGTAAAGTTCTGTCAAGACAAGTGTCAAAGCCTAGCTAGTTACCTTCCAAGTTTGATATAAAGGATATCAAAGTGTGAAAGCATTAATTTTGCATAAATATCTGTTCCACAAATGGAGGCCAACAGCCTACTAATGGAAAACAAAGCTTCTATCCTCCCATCCCTTGCTCCAGCTTCAGTTCTCAGTTCTCCTCCCTTCTCCTTTATAGTTCAAGTTCACATTACAGCACTCAGATACAGTCTTACTAACTCACTTTCTCAGATCTCTTCCATCTTGAACCCTGAAATCTTAAAGGGCTTTGCAGGAGTATTAACAGGGATTTAATTTTGGCTGTTCTCCAAAAGCAGGCTGGAGTGGGGGCACTGGGCAACTTCCAGACTTTGCATATATATAGTACCTCTCTCTCTCTCTCTCTCTCTCTCTCTCTCTCTCTCTCTCTCTCTCTCTCAAGTAGCAATCAGAGAAAATAAGAGACATGCTGGTGCTGTGGCAATGGGACATTCTCACTCTGTGGCACCAGAACCAAAATATCCATGTCATGTTCCTGCCCCAACTGAGTTCTGGGTTGTCATGACAGAGCTTGTCAAAATATCTTGGAGCTGCAAGTGGGCATATGCTAACTTGGACCTGGGCTTCAAACCTGTAACAGCAGCACTTATGGATGTTGGGAATCCTTACTTGTGCCCTGGTTGTCAAAGATTTGTATACCTGTATGCCAGCCACTACCATGGAAACCACAGATGTCTTCATTTAACTTCCATAATAACCCTAAAGGAAACTGAGACTCAAGAGATGCTCAATAATTTCCCCCCAAGTCTCACAGCTATTAAATGATAGAAAAGGAAATTAGAAAGCATCTAGATGTGTTTGGTTTTCCTCTACAACATTAAAAGATGATAAGCTCTTTCCTGCTTTCCTTTTACATTTGCGTTTCCAAAGGAAGCAACAGTAAACAGACAGACGTGCCATACATCCAATCTGATCTTTCCAATGGTGTTTCCTCTCACTAGAATCGTATGCATGAGTCTTTGCATCTGTTCAACAGCATATGTAACCACAAGTTCTTCGCGGCTACATCCATTGTCCTCTTTCTCAACAAGAAGGACCTCTTTGAGGAAAAAATCAAAAAAGCCCATCTCAGTATTTGTTTTCCAGAGTATGATGGTAAGTGTCAACTGCGGCAGACAACAGTAATGCCTTTTAGAAGTAACTCACAGTTGCCTCATTCCCTATGCCACGGAGACACAAAGGAACTTGTCTTAAGGGAGAAACTTAAGCATTCAGATATGAGGTTTAAAAAAATGTCTGGAATAGAGCAGCCATTAGATATGAGAGCCTTTGACTATTCAAAGCATATCTACTAGAAACCAAATGTGGAGTCAGAGACCTTTCTCCTCAATTTCACTGCTCCATCTGAGCAGCACCAGAGTGTAATACTGAGAACTTTCTCTCTCCAAAAACAGGCCCCTAACTGTATTTGTCCAACATAACATATTGGAAAGCAGGTCAGTCACCTAAAAAGTGAGTAAGCACCTAAGAAAGGTTAACTTATCCCATTCTTCACTATTTTTCTGAAAAACCAGGAAACAACTCCTATGAAGATGCGGGGAATTATATCAAGAGCCAGTTCCTTGACCTCAATATGAGAAAAGATGTCAAAGAAATCTACAGTCATATGACCTGTGCTACTGATACACAGAATGTCAAATTTGTATTTGATGCAGTTACAGATATCATCATCAAAGAAAACCTCAAGGATTGTGGGCTTTTCTAATACCATTCCTCAGGTTAGAATCTGAGTAATCTCAACCAGAAAGTTATAGGGCGATAGGCCATGACATGAAGAATGATTCCATTCTCTATTGGAGACGGAGAATGCATGACTACGACTGTATCTCATGTGTTCTAAGTGGGATAGCTGGTACAGGTTAAAGAGCACAAGGCTGGGAGTCCTAAGACCCATGTTCCAGGTACTCATTCTAGTTAATACAAGAATATGAATACTTCATTTTTCTGCGTTTCAAATCCCTCATCTAAAAAACGAAGATAACTTTTCTAACCTACTTCACACAGTTATTCTGGAGCACAAACCTAACTGAAGGGAAGGCACATAAAAGCTGTGTAGTTCATCTCAGAAACCAAGCCTACAGAAAGGCTGCAATTTATTACATTCAAAATCTGGTTTTTAGAATGAATTATCCCAATAAACTATCCTAAGCATAATGGCAAGTCTTCCCCTACAGTCTGCAATAAACTATTCAAAACGAGACCTCAGTAAACTTACCACTCCCTTTTTACTAATAGATCTCTATGTGCCTTATTTCACAGATCTGTATCACTGGATAGGAGATGTGAGATGTTGGTTTCTAAGGCACACACATCCAGAAATCTTATTAAGCATAGATTATCTCTCTGTTCCCCAGGCTGCCAAATACACTGAGTTTCCTTTATCTCTATAAATAACTGCTTTGCTATCGAAGACACTTTCTGACTATACTTGGAGGACACCAACACACTCCCACTTACGATTTTATTGCTACCACTTTTGTATCATAGAATTTAGAACAAGTGAGCAATCTAAAATTTTCATGTCAACTGCTGCATATCTCAGAACAAAAAAGACTGCTGAGCTTGCTTTAGGCACTGAAAATCTTTGCAGTTGGGTCCATGAGAAGCTGGCTGCAAACAACACCCCCTCCCCATGGATTAAGGAGGAAATTACTCCTTTGAACTCTTCTGAGGGGAAATGAAGCTTGCATTTATCTTGACAGGAGGTGGAGAAGTCAGGTATAGATTTAGCATTTACAACCACTAGTGAGGAAAGCTCTTGGCATCCAAGGTTTAGTATATAAAAGAAAAGTGTCAATTAAAATGAAAATCTGCTCCTTGCCAGAAACACCCATTCACAAGTAGGCTGCTTCCAGCAATATGAGCTTGAAATACAATAAAGGATAAATTTGCTATTAAAATTGGATTTGTTTAATAGTCTTTCTGATTTCCTAAAACTAAATAAATACAAACTTGTGAGGGGAATTACCACAGGAACTAGTCTGGCTATACCTACTCATTTAAAAACTTAAGTCGCTCCAGTATGCCAAGAAAAATTTAAATATATACCTAGGCCAAAAAAACAAACCTGGTTGGACTGGAGGTGTGGCTCAATTGGAAGAGTGCCTGCTTTGCAAGTGTGAAGGCTGGAGTTCAAATCCCAGTCCCCTCCACCACCACACACAAAAAAAAAACCTGGCAATTTTTTTTTTTTCTTCTTTTTTGAGATGGAGATGTGTGCTGCCCAAGCTGGTTTTAAACTCATGGGCTCAAAGAGATCCTCCTACCTCAGCCTCTGAATAGCTAGGCCTACAGGCATGCACCACCATACCCAGTACAGAATATTTTAAAAATGCATAAAATAATTTTCAGAGAATTACAGAGGAAGTCAGCATAATAAATAAAATTTTATCTGCAGACTCTCCAGAGCTCTGAAGCCCCAAGGTAAGAACCCTCAGCTGCCACATGCTACTGGCTCACACCTTTAATAGCTATTTGAGGAACCGAGATCAGGAGGCTCAAGGTCAGCTAAGCCAAAAAAAAAAAAAAAAACTCAGGGGACCCCCATGTCAACAAAAAGAAGTTGGACACGGTGATGCACACCTATCATCCCTCCACAGAAGGAACCTAAAATAGAGAAATTGTAGGTCAGTCCAGCTTGGGCAAAAGACCCTATCTCCATAACAAGCAGAGCAAAAAGACTAGCGGCATGGCTCAAGTGGTACAGTGCCTGCATAGCAAACTCAAAGCCCTGAGTTCAAATTCCATACCAGCAAAACAAAAAACAAAAGCTCTCAGCTCAGCTCTGAACTTATCTATCCAGGCTCCAAACATAACTTATCCCACTTATTCCAGAGGATAGCCCCACTTCCCTAAAACTGTACCAACTTCTTTGCTTCTTACCTTTGTCATTGAATCTAGAAAGAAAGTGATTATGGGTCAAACTAGACCAGACTCCTTGGTTACTAATATTCCCATTGAACCTGCCCTTGAGGACAAGTATGAAAGCAGAGCCACTGAGACAGGTCTTTGGGCAGAACTATTAAAATCTTCAGCAGGAATAGTTGTGTCTTAGTCTTCTTCTCTTTTCTGGTAGATATCTCAACTTTTCCCTACTTTTTAAACAAATTCATGTAAGCACTTTTACAAAAAGGTTTGTCACAGACAAAATAGCAACACTTTAAAAACTTTCTTACCTGGCTTTCTCTATGATTTTAATATTTTTTTCTGGTGGGACTAGGGTTTGAACTAGGGTTTGCAGGGTGGGCACACTACCACTTGAGCCACAACTCCAGTTCAGAAGTAGCATCTCTTAAAAACAACATGTTCCACCACTGATTTTTTATTGAGGTTAGGATTTGGTTAATTTACTTTACAATGTCCTCAAGTTAAAAAACTTTGGCAAGTCTACAGGGACTAAAACCACAGGGTTCTGGTCACCCATTCACTTGTACCCTAGAACAAAGTCAAAATAATTTTCTGAAACTCATGCCCAGATGAAGCTGTCATTCCTCCAAAAAAGCCCTTGCCCAGCTTCATCCTTCAGACCCAGAGATTATTCCCAAACTTTACACTGTTTAGAGCTACAGAAAAAATACATTTGTACTTCTCCTACACAAATGGCTTATTTTTATCTCCTAGCCACTGTGTGCATGGAAAGTTTTCCATGCAACAAAAAGCCTAAAACCAAATCTATGCCATATACTCTGCTGTCTTCTTTTGTCTCATTTTAAATTTACATTTAATACTGTTGAATCTCATGTATCTTTCTTTATAAGCCATCAGAAACAGTCAACACTATTTTCTGGCACTGCAACCTTAATTCCTAGAATGCTGTAATAAAAACATTCCAGGTGTATCACTAGCAATTTATAGATAGCAAACTGAGGTTGCTATCTATAGGGATGTAGATAGTCTTCATTAAGATCACACTGCTAGTTGGGTGCCAGTGGCTCATGCCTGTAATCCTAGCTACTCAGGAGGCAGAGATTAGGAGGATCACAGTTTGAAGCCAGACCAGGCAAATAATTTGAGAGACCCTATCTCAAAACCATCACACACACAAAAAGAGGGCTGGTGGATGACTCAAGGTGTAGGCTGAGTTCAAACCCCAGTACCACTAGAACAACAACAAAAAAATCACATTGCTAGAAGTGGCTGAACTAGAACTCCAAAACCAGTTCTGAATATAAGACTGTGGTCCCTGTACAGATACTAGTCTACCAACAGCACCACCATACACTACAACACCAAGGTCAATTTTCCATTCTTCTTGATTGCTTCTTAGTTATGCCATCTCTAAGCCATGGATATTTAACAAAGCCATATGGAAACAAAGATAGATAGCTATCCCATTGTGAAATTAGCATAAAGTCACAAAAATGTAAATAACTTAAAGTTTGCTTGTTTGTTGAAGATCTATCTCCCTGTTAGTATCCTTAGAGGGCAGAGACCAGAATGTACTTCCCTTGCATAGCACAATTACAGATAGTGATGGCAATAAAACAAATGTAAATTAAGCTGTTTCACATAAACTGAAAAGTTTTTTTTTTTTTGACACAAAAGGACAAATACTGTATGATTCCACTGACATGAGGTACCTAAATAGCAAAAAAATAGGCAGAAAGTAAATGATGGCTACCAGAGGCTGGGAGAAAGAGGGAGGGAGAGTCACCGTTTAACAGGCAGTTTCAAATCAGGAGCATGCAATGGGCAGTGATGATGACTGTGCAGAAGTGGAAATGTAACACTCAATGCCACGAAACTATATGCTTTAAAAATGATGAAAACGGTAAATTCTATGTTGTAAATACTTTACCACAATAAAAAAATGGAATTGGAAATGTGCTGGTATGCTTTTTCGTGGGTAAAGGAATGACAGATGAAAGAAACACAGCAATTCAGTCTTAAGAGCAATATAAAAAGACACATTTACTTGTAACAGTTCCTATTCTGGTAATAAAACCCACTTACATGCCCCCAAATAGTTCAAATCAGAGTATCCGTCCCAGTCCCAGGTGAGACAACAGCATTCAAACCCACTCTCTACTTGGAGATATGCCGTAGACCAAAGTGTGCTGGCCATGCTGGGTGGAGAAGGTGGTGAAGGGTGAGGAGCTCTTACCTCCCACTGCCCTCTCTACCCGGCACAGCCCCCGGAGCACAGATTCCAGGAGGACTTCGGTGTTGGGTCAGGGACTGCATGTGTCAGAGCCTCTGGTGGTCCTGCTTGGTAAAAGCGTAGAGATGTTTCTGTGCGGTCATACAAGTCTATTGGAGATTGTGGAAGGGAACTTTTCTGCCTTTCTGCTATGAAAAAGTAGTGGCATGAATAGAAAATAAAGAACTAATTGAAATGTAAAACAAAGCAAAGACCTTTTCACCCTGTTTCGTAAGTCTTTGAGCAACTGATAGTTCAACTTCACTTCAGGTCCTTAGAATGAACTGGGGAAAGTGATGCTGTGAGAAGACCTCCAGCCAAGATGAATACATTTACTGGTGCTGCTGCAGGATATTACTGTTTGTAGTGCAGTATAATCCTGAGTATCATAAAAACATTACAAAGCACCTTCAAGTAGATTATTTCTATTTGATCAGAACCAAAGAGTACCCTACCTAGAAGGAATCATTTACTCTAGTCCACCTTTACACAATGCATGGGGGATATAAGATTAAAGTGACCTGTACAAAACCTCATGGCTAGGTAGCAGTAGAGAAAAGACCAAAACCCAACACTTCAAACAACTCTTGATTTCCTAAGATTCTCAGAGGTCTCAGGACCTTTATCCTTCATGGGCAAGGATAAACAGAACATGTAATTTCTTCAGTTATGTCTACGGGGAATTTCTCTTACATATAAATAAGCCTTTTAGTTAAAATGTCTGGATAAACCAAAGAACACTGGCACAGTGGAGGGGGGTAGGTAGAGGAGAGAAGATAAACCGGGTTACACAGATTTTAATACTCTAGCTGTCAAGTATTTTACAGCTTAGTGAATACTGACACATCGAAATAATATATTCCAGCAGTGTATTAATACTTATCAATATTCAATTATTTCTGCTAACCCTGTGATTCCCCTAGATTTCAAGAAGAGAAAACATTAGTATTGAGCAAGTGAAAACTTCCACTAGACTCATTAGGTTAGTGCTAGTTAAGTTTTGCTTTATCCAACAACTATAAGTGAACGTTCATGTTATTACATACAGCCACCACTGTCACAGGATTTTATCTTTAATTTCATGTGCATTTATTTCAATTTTCACTATATAAATGCCATGAATAAATTAAATATCTGGATACTCCAAGTTTCTTGTTTTGTTTAATTTTGTGTAAAAATTAAATATTCTAGTTAAAATGTAGGATTTTTTTTTTTGCCAGTCTTTGAACTAATTTTTTTTGGTAAAAGGCACTTTAAGTGATGTACAATAAGTAAGTACTTCTTACTTATTGGCAAATAAGAAATAACTGAGCCATTCACAGTGATTCTGAAGTGTTCTGTAGTTAGTGTCTGTGTTGATCTTTAACATAATGTTGTATTCAGTTGTCCTCAAATGTTGGTACAAGTTGGCTGCATCAAAATCACCTGAGGAATTTATTTTAAAGTATATATTCCCAGGACCTAGCTCATGTATTTTAATTGAGTAGTTTAGCCAGGGAAGCTATATAGATTAATCATATACCCAGGTAACCACTATAGTACAGCAATGCCTGAGAAGACTTGAGTCATGTCAGGTCTAGGCCTAGCATAGTATCAGGAAAAAAAACAAAAAAACCCAAAACTGCCCTGCCCTGACTTATTATAAAGTATATTATATCAGCAGAAGTAATTCATAAACAATAATGAGAAAAATCGAGGGGTGGGGGTGTTTTAAAGCTAAACAATGATAAAGGAATAATGATATTGACCATCCTGGAAGTTAGTTCCCCAGCACCTAGAAAAACCTTTCTTTTACTCCCTGATAATCCACAGCAAACCCAGCTTTCAATTTCAACCTCTAGGTAACCTTTTTTCCCTTGTGCTTGTTGGAAGCAATATAACAAAATATGAGGTCCAAGAGTTATGTGGAGAACTATGCCCATCCAAGTCAGAGCTCTGGTTTGTACTATGGAGGCTAAAGTA